TTTGGTTCGTTTTAAGATTGTATAGCAGCTCTCTGCGTGATCGTGTTTTTTGTTTAATGTTTATGGCTAAAATGTCTAGTTTTAGTGCATATCTGGTTTGATCCATGTGTGTGTGGAGCTGTTTCTTGTTGATGTCTCTTTCTGTGTTTGCTCTGCTGAATTTGTGATAAGACTTGCATTTAAAGAGATGGAGTTGAGTGATGAGTACATGAGTTTATAATAATAATAGCAGCCTTCACACGACTACTTGAGGAAATGTGGAGAGCACAAAAAAAGGAAAATTTTGATGAGGCTACTAACGTGTCAGATATTTTTTCACATTTCTAGGATTTAGGAGTAATATGTGAATCTATTGAGACACACTTGGCAAAGTAAAGGAGGAAGATAAGTATGTTTGACTTAATTTAATCATGAAATAGACACCTCATGATTGCTTTTATCATAATTCATATGGTCGTCTTCTTTTTAATAAATATTTGATTACTTGAATCCATAAAACGTCAATGGAATAATAATGTATATTTCATTAGTTAAATATCCCAGCAGCCAGCATGTTAGTATCTTTTGACTGCATACAAAAATGGAGAACAATTCTTGCTTACAAAATCAGCAACTTAAAAGTGAGGGTATATATTTGCTGCTAGTTAAAAATCTTTATTCAATTCTTGTTTTCTTCCTTTAGACATCCACAAAAACTACGAAAACCGGATACTTGTTAAATGATGTTTGACGAGCCATGCCAAAGCGAAACCTTTTAGAAAAACCCAAAATTACATATTTATTTAAAATTCTTATTCAATTGTTCTAAGAAAAGGCAACACGAGACACACACACACACACACACAAAAAAAAAAATTGTATTACAAAAACTCAGTTACCCACAAAACAATACCTTCGAGGCATAAGTAAAGATCCCAAAGTCTAAACGAAATGTGAAACCAATAAAATAAATGAAATGGGTAATATTGAAATCCTCAAACAAGTTGCAAATGGTGAAATAGACCACTTAATCGATCATGCTAGACGCATGGTTCAATTAAAATCGCCGCTCCAATTTCAAAAACATTCTACATTAGCAATTTTATGTCCAAGTGAAAACTGTTACGTCTGATTCGAGTTATACCGGCAAACATCTTTCGAACAGTGCTCTGCAACCCAAAATTCGACTTCTACATATTCGATGTCAAAGAGATGATATAAAATACAAATGATACCTAAATGTGTCACTTTTCATGCCTGAATTAATAAGTTTGTGATAAATATGACCATATAATTAATAACGAAATTACAAGAGTAAAGGTTATTAAAATTGGCTAGAGGCTTGACATTTGCAAAGCCAATCTTAGTAAGAGTGGGTTTTTGTAATAAAAGTTTACCTTGGTGATATGGAGTATAATACCAGGTTGAGTACGACTTAAGAAGTGGTTTGACTGAACCAACAAGTTGATCGGACATCAAGAGTACTTGAGGTCGAAGAACCACCAGGTCGATGATGACCTCACAGGTTAAGGAGCTCACCAACAGGTCGAGTTAGGGTTGTCAGCTAGCCTGATAGAAACTTGACCTGGAGACAATTAGATCGATAACATTACCTAAGAGGTGAAGCTTACGCCTTGAAGGTCGAAGCAATCTGGTTCAAGGGAAGTCAAGCTGGTCACACAGTTAGACCTTCTAATAAAATTTGCTAATGTGAATATACTACTTAAGAGATAAGAGTGAATATTATTAGAATAAGAACCACACATGGATAGGATCAGAATCAAGCATTTTGGTCACTCATGCAGTATAAACAGGTAGCTCGGACACTCGAGTAGTCTAGCCGGGCAATTCAGGGTAACAAGATAACACTCCTATATAAAGGAGTGAAGTATGACCATTTGCATTCTACAAACTCTTATATCTTACAAGCTATATAGTTACTGTTCATCATTGTCTTCTTTATACACATTCTAACTTGATCGTCGGAATTTCTACGCCATGACCACTCTCGACGCTGTTTTGCAGGTCTATCGAACCTATCGAGTGCAGATCCAAGGTCTCAGGAGTCGATTGAGGTCGTCTGCACACCACTTACTATTAGTCTTATGATAATAGAAAGTGTGTGTGAAGAGTACTACCTTTAGTTATAACTCAAAGTGTAAAAATAAGAGCGTTAAGGTTTCACACATTACAACTTTTCATTCTTTGTTTCTCAAAATCAATTCAGCCACACCTCCATTGTGTTTCTCTCGTCTTCTGCATCTGTGAATAACTTGTTCATCTCTTGCAAATATACAAATGATAAAACTTTCAATATGGTATCAGTGCAAATCTGATATGATTTAATCTACTTGACATGCTCTAGACCTAGGCCTACGAAGGACTCACAAGGGAGGTGTGTGTTGAAATATCATGTGAGTTGTCTCACGTTGATTTTATATAGCAAACTGCAAATGTGCTTAATTTATAAATCTAATTGGCTACTTTTTCCATCGTCAATTAATTTTGGAATAGTCATGCTCACTCTTTTATGGTGAGCTTAAGCCTTACGAGACTGCACCCACCAATCTATAACTCTAAACTTTTTGTTTTTGTTTAGAAAATGCACTAAACATGAAATGAAAAGAATTAATAACTATAGTAAGGAACATCTGGTTTCAGTGAAGAAAAAATATTCACCATATTGTTTTGTTTTGATGAAGAACTTATTTGATTATTAACCGATTACAAAATTGATGACAAATAGTTGTATTAGTGGATAGTTGATAGTATTGTAAAAATTAATTGATTAGCGAATTATATTGACGGTTTTGTTAGTAAATATTGGATAAACAAAGGTTTGTATTATTTTAGAATTTTTATATTATTGTGTTACATTACGTAACTTCTCTCTACCTAGAAATGATGCTCTATTAAATTTTTCTAGATTAATTTAAAAGGCCAATCAAATAAGCTGGTAGAGGTTTGACGAGGTTCAATCCGCCAACTCAACATCTAAACATTCATACATTCAAAAGAATTCCATATTTTTTAAAATCGTGTACATAATATAATGTTGAACACAAATTTGACATAATACATATGTGGCAAGATCATGTGTTTTATAAATCACATCGATTTTAAGACTAATAATTTCTATACTTACACATCAGTTATGTCATTGATTATATAAAAAAATTATGTCAAAATTGCATTATTTTATATTTCAATATTCATATTTTTCGTTTAAAAAATAAGAAAAGAGCCGAAAAGGGCTAAAATTCTAAAACGCATATAACTTTGCATTTGTTAGGTGAAAGGTTAAAACAATTAAACAAGAGCAGTCAACCATTTCTCTCTTCGAAACAGCAAAACAAAACCGTAGAGAGAGAGAGATGTCGGACGAGGAGCATCACTTCGAATCCAAGGCGGACGCCGGCGCATCCAAGACCTACCCTCAGCAAGCTGGCACCATCCGCAAAAACGGTCACATAGTCATCAAGGGCAGGCCCTGCAAGGTTTCGATTTATTCATTTCTATCTTTTTGTGGAATTCAGTTTAAAATTACATTTTTTATGGAATTTATTGTTGTTTCTATGATGGGCTTGTCTAGATTTCATCAGATCTTGATTGGCTTCTCGTTCACGAATCCGGCTTGACCTAGAGATTGTTAATATTAATTCTCGTTGGTTTTAGGGTTTGTCTTTATCTGTTCTGTTGTTTGTTCTCCCTGATCCGTATTATTAGGTTGATTTGAATTATTATATATAATCAGGCATGAATTATTATTGCGAAGAGTTCTGGATTTGCAGTTATTTGTCTAGATTGTTGTAGACTGCAGTATGGACTACAGCTCTATAACCCTGTTTATTGTTTGTTTGACATTTTTTCCCTTGTTATTGAAGATGGGATTGCAACATTCTAGTGTTGTATTATAAATGAGAAAAGCTTCGTTTTTTGCGGCTTAGATTTGTCTTTGGGCCCCTCAAATCTTTCTAGGTGCAGTGACTAACCTAGTGCCTATGGCTTTATGATTTGCATAGTTTCTTCTCTGTTTAAGGATCTGATAACAATCAGTCATGTCATTTACTTAGAGCACCCACAATGCTGTGGGTCTCTTTAAAAAAAAATCACATGCCATGTAGGAAATATATATAGTCTATAAAAAAGAATTTCACAATGCAATTAAAAGTGGACCTAGTCTAGCTTATGTGGCAATAAAAAAAGAGACCAAGTCCACTCTTTAGTCTATTTTGGACCCAAGTGTGAACCTTACAATAGCAATTATTTACTATTATTATATTTTAATTGGTTGTTAGGTATTTAGACCTAGTATTTTTTATTTTTTTTTTGGCATTGGATAGATTCTGGATTTTTTAGCTTGGGTTTATCCATGTCATTATAGACTTAAGTCTATTTATTTGCCACATATGAAAAAAGAGACCCAAAGCATTGTGGGTGCTCTTAATGAAATTTATGACACTCATCTTCCAGTTGAATGGTCAATATTCATCTTTTATGTTAATTGTATTTATTGGGTCGACCTGTTTGCGATTATTTCTTTTCACCTCCTTTGAGATTTGGTGTAGTTCTTTAAATTCCTTGTTCTCTTTTTGATATCGTGTTATGTTTTGTTGTGATGCACATTCAGCATGCCTCTTGATGAGTTCTTTCTTTTTTAACGTCTTATAAAGATACTTATATTTTGTGTCTTTTCAGCGTTTGATAGGACAATATCGAATGATATGCCTCTATACAACATATGCCTTTCCTTAAACTTTTGACATAATACTATTTATCCATGATTACATTAATTCCGATGTGCTATTTCGTCCCTTTTTATTTGAGTAGGTTGTTGAAGTCTCTACTTCAAAAACCGGCAAGCATGGACACGCCAAGTGTCACTTTGTGGCTATTGACATATTCAATGGCAAGAAGCTTGAAGATATTGTTCCATCGTCCCACAACTGTGATGTAATTTGTTATTAAATTATTCCTTTTGCTGTAACTTTTTTTCTCCCCGAGATTCTCTTATGGAAGCTTCCGTAATTGTGTTAAATAACACAATTACTGAACGGAATGTTCTGTTGTGGTTTTTTCAGGTGCCTCATGTGAACCGTACTGATTATCAGCTTATAGACATCTCCGAAGATGGTTTTGTAAGTACTCCCTCGCTTATTTTGTTTCATCATTGTATTTTTCAATAAGAATCGCTGCATGCTGGGAAATATTCCCTCGAGAAGTCAATTATACACTTGGATAAGTTCATATAAGTTTGCCACTAGAAGTTACAGCATTGCTTGCTGGTAGATTATTATTACTATTTTTGATATTCACATGCCTGTTCTTTTCCCATGATATTACGGAACTAATTGATTAAAGTTCAATAGAGAAATGTCATTTAAATGACTGATGGAGTACCTGTTTGGTTTTTTTTTTTTTCTGAAAGCTTTTTAGTTTTTCTTGTTTCACACTGAAATTAGGGGATTTACAGCTCGATGATTTTTTTATTTTATTTTTTATTTCGATTCGTTTCATTAGAAAATCTTGAACAGATTGAGGCTTGTGTGTTGTAGGTCTCTCTTCTGACTGAAAATGGTAACACCAAAGATGATCTGAGGCTTCCTACCGATGAAAATCTGCTTTCTCAGGTGAACAACTTTTTTTCTTTGTGTGTGTGTTTTTGTGATTTTTTCGTTGCTAGGTATTTTGACTATTGAATGGAAAGCTGTTGAGTTCAATATCATTTTTACTTTAGAATCAATGTTTGCTAGCACTTCACCTGTAGAGGAATTGATTTATGGAAATGGAATGTTTATTTGATTAAAATAGTAACATTCACACCATAATTAGAATTATTAACACAAACATTCCTCTCTTTTAAATTCCAACCGTATGAAGCAAATTTAAAAGTACAAGCTAACATTAGAAAACGCTAAAATGTAGATATTATTATTAGGATAGTGATTTGTAGTGTTCGGAAGTAACGTTTTTGATTGATTTACGTGCAGATTAAAAGTGGTTTTGAGGAAGGAAAGGACCTTGTGGTGTCTGTTATGTGTGCTATGGGAGAAGAGCAGATCTGTGCCCTGAAGGACATTGGTCCCAAGAATTAATAAACTATATTTCGCTTGTCTTTTTCTTAATATCTACAGAACCAAAACAAGAATTCCTATTATGGTTCCTGTTCCAAAGTGTACTACTCTTCAAGTATTTTTATCTGGTTTTTGAGTGATTAAAGTTATAAAACAATGACAAAACTTGGTTTTATATAACAGGCCTATGTTATTTGCTGTTTGTCAGTTTGGATATTTTTTGTTTCATACGTATGATGGTAAATGGTAGTAGCATCAGGTTGGGAAAATTTTATGTGTACACAGCTTTTTATCCATAATTGCAACATTACGAGAGCAATTGTTTTAATTTCAAACTTACTAAATGCATGTAATTTGTTAGGGATAATGTTATATATCGGTTACCAAAAAAAAAAGGATCAAGTGTCCTTAAATTCCAGGATTACTAGTATGCCGTTTTTCATGGAAAAAGATGTAAAAATATATGGAAAGTGTATAATGCAAGATAACAGTTACCTTAAATTGTGGGATTACAAGTACCGTTTTCGTGGTAAAAATAATGGAAAATTTATGGTAAGTGTATATATCCTAATATTTAGGATATTGTTCAATTTCAAACTGAAACGATTTCGGAAAATACACGAAATACACCTAGTAATTTTTTCTTGTCGAAATCATTTTTTGTTTACTTTTTGTGTTATTTACATCTCGTGATTTTTTAATGTATATTTATAGTATATTTTTTGGTTTAATACATACAAAATACACGATCAAGATTATATACGGAAGATATACATAAGATATACTCATTATAAAGACGATATAAATAATATATACAGTATAAATCAATCTTGTCATTATATACCGAATATATACAAAAGATATACATATAACACATTAGACCACAAAAATCAAATTTCAGAAATCAATTCCTTTATTCTACATACTCATTCTCTAAATGTTGTCATCCACACACACACAGATAAGAAATAGATAAGTAATTTGAATTTCAAATAACGTCATCTTCTAAATACATCTAAAATACACTATCAGGAATTATATACAGAAGATATACTCATTATATACAGACGACATACACAAGAAATATACAAACAATAAATCAATCTTGTCATTATATACAGAATATGTACCGAACATATACAAAAAATACTTTAGACCACAAAATTCAAATTTAAAAAATCAGTTCTTTTCTTTTGCACAACCCATTCTTTATATCATGTGGTCATCCACACGTGCAACCGCCGGTGACCATCGTCGTCTCTCCAAAGCTCCATCACCAGAGGCCGCATCCCTTCAACCTCTTACCAATCGGCTGTTGTCTTTGATTGTGATTCAAATCTTTGGATCTTCGCTAGCATTCTGTCGGAATTACAGGGCACCTCAATGTTGTATATATTCCCCTAACAATTTCCAAAAACTCAAAATAATCAGGCGGAAAAAAAAAAAGAAAGAAGAAAGAAGAAAAAAACAGAGCACGAGTATGAGAAAATACGATACCAGGTGGCCTCGAGGACTGAGACGCCCATGTATATGGCGATTCCGATGGCGGAGAAAGTGTACAGAGAGATCCGTACCAGAGCTTGTCCCCATGAGTCGTATGACGTCACCATCGTGGTGTCCAAAAACTTGCTAAACTCTCAATCTCTCTCTCTCTCTCTCTCTCTATATATATATATATATATATATATATATATCTTGTTGAGATCGGAAGAAAAAACAAATTTTTTATGATCGAATTAATTCAATCGGGGGAGTATGATTTTTGGGCTGCCACAATTTGGGCTTCAAAGTTTAAGTTTCGCCATGGACATGGCGTGTGAAGGAGAGGGAGAGAGGGATAAGGAGGAGAGAGAGAGGGACCATATAATGGCAGTTACCTATTCAAATCAACTTCTTGTATATATGCAAATAATATAATAATTTTAGTTAATTTGCTAATAAATGTATAAGGATGGTAAATGTGCAATAATATTGTAAATGTTTAGTAGACTATGTAATTTTCTCCATCAGGTTTATATAAACCTTTCATCTAGAATAAATATATTGTTTTTAAGTTGTGGCTTTTAATTCTAAGCTCATCTCAATAATTCATACTACCTCCTATTTTTTATAAATGTCATTGGGTTTATCAACAATTAACCAAATAAATATTTTTTATAAATGTCATTTTTGGTTTATCAACAATTAATCAAATAAATGACGTTTTGGATTTTTTGTACATATTTTTTCATTATTGTCCTTATCTAGCTTCATTTTTTCTCAAAACATTCATCTCTATCCTTATTAATAAGGGTTATTATTGACACAAAAATATTTTTCATTATTGTGAAACTTCTCAAAACAACACTTATCTATTACTATATAATACGGAGAAGAAAAATGATTTGAACAATCCGAAAATAATCATTTCGTTTTTCCGCTTCAATATAGTGTTTTTCCCGCTTCTTCAATTCGTAATTTTTTTTTTTGAATTTTTTCAGCCCATGCAATTAGGTAACCAATCAAATCGAATCTTTTAGCATTCAATTTGGTAAGGTGTTCCGATTTTAGCATTCAAATCCGATTTCACTTCCTTTTTTTATGCCAATCAATCCGATTTTTTTGGTTATTTCAAATTTTTTTTATATTTATATTTTTATTTTATTAATATATTTGAAAGAGAATCAATAAATGTTTATCATAACTTTTATTTTACAAATAAATTTGAATAAGCATACCTTTTATTTTATATGAAATTCAAAATTACATATTTTAATATATTAATAAACGTTTATTATTTATTTTTTCCTTATGTGATATAATAGAATTTCGGTATTTGTAAATTCAAACATTTAAAGGAAAAGATTCCAAACAATTTTTTTGGGTAAATTTCATTTTATCTTGGTTTTCATTATCACATTTCTAACAAACTAATTAGTATTATATTTTTTTATCTACATTATCTAACCGATTTTTTATGATACAATTAATATAATATCTTAACAAATTAATCATTTGTCTAACCGGATTTATCTCTCTAACAAACTTGCAATTTTTTTAAAATTAAAATGGTATGGTTATTCTTATGGAGATACTTATTAATATATTAAATATTTAGAAACTTTTTTTAAAAAATGAGTTATCCATCCTTTTACTTTATTTGAAATTCTGACTTATATTTTTAAATATATTATTATTTAATTTTTTTACATGTAAATATTTATTATTTATTATCTAAGTGATAAATATTATTGATTTATCTCTTTAATAAATATTTATTATTTATTTTTTCCTTACGTGATATAATGTAAATTTGGTTACTAGATTTTTAAATTCAAACATTTAGGAAAAAAACCACGAACAAATTTTTTGGTTACATTTCATTTTATTTTAACTTTCATATAATCACAATCCTAACAAACTAATTAGTATAATATTTTTTTACCCATTTTTATATAATCGGATTTCTTAAAATATAATTAATATAACATTTTAACTATTTAATCATTTGTATAACTTGATTTAACTCATTATCAAACTTGCCAAATTTTTTTATGAAAGTAAAAAAAATTTGGAATATTTTTATTTGTAAAATAATAAAAAATAGCTTTACTTTAAAGTCTGAATTATTTCCATTATTTTTTGTACGTTAACAATCATATATTTTGGATTATTGATTTAAAAAAACAAATCAAAACCGTAAGGTTTAATAATATTCCATAAATAAAAAATATTGTATAAAGAAAAGTATTTAATATTATATATTTTTCATTGATTGTATTTATTTTATTTTCATAATAGAAGAGATGTGAAAAATAGAAATAATTATATTTAAAATAAAATCTAAAAAATGTTTAAAATATGAACTCTTCCGTGCATCGCACGGGATATACACTAGTATTAAAAAAAGGAGAGAATACTATTCTTAAATTAAATGTCCAAATTTAGCTAATAATTGGAAGCTAAATTTGATGATGATGACTTTTCCAGCTTTTCTCGTGCAATCTATTTTCTCGCACCTAATGTCAAGGCGAAGTGGTTGACATGTGAGACTTCCACTCATTGGTTATATGACGTCAAAAATTGAAAGTATTTATGAGCAATAAATGATATCATTCATGTATGTCATAAAAAATGACGGTGTTAATATGAAACCAACAGTTGATTTCATAGTAGAGCCAACCTTCTATATACAACAAGTAAATCTACCATATGGTAAGTTTACTTGTTGTATATAGAAGGTTGGCTCCACTATAGAGTCAACCGTTGGCTTCATAGCAAAACCGTAAAAACCATTTTATCATAATGGACAACAATTATTATATAAATATGTATCTTGTAGCCACTAAAAAAGGTAATGTGAGGTGTCATAAGATTGGAAAGAAATTTTCTATTTCCATATCATGTTACACTTCATGTTTCTCCTAATGAAGAAGTAAACGTCATAATGGACAACAATTAGTATATAATTATGTATCTTGTAACCATTGAAAATGGTATTGTGATTTGATGTGAGAAGTTTCAATGACACTCAACTATGTTGAAATATAAATGGGGTATATGTATTAGTGGTTGCATACAAAGTTATCTAATCATTTTTTATCAATCATTTTTTTTTTAACTCAAAATCTATTTTAAATTAACTCATCTCGACTCTCCTCAATATTATTAATATAATAAATAGTACCGATAAATCATCTCCACACATCACATCATTATTTATCCGTTAATTTTAACTACTCACCACTTACAACCACTCATCTTCTACTTTGATATCAAATTAATTTTAATTATTATTTTAATACAAACTTTAAATCTAACTCAAACATAACCCAACCAATTTTTTAAAAAATTCTGATTAACCAACAAATTCAACTAAAACTCAAATAAATTTGTGTCCAAGCAACACCTAGGTATTTTAAAATTATCACTACATGTAATGTTTACTGAAAGGTTAACTTCCACAATTTATTTCTAGAATTAGTCAAAAAACTAAATAAACCATGGGCTACTCAAAACGTAGAATACCTCCATGTTTACTAAATAATATGGGTCACTTCCGAACTTTCGAACCTAATCCATTTGAGCTAATGCTATATTGAACTTGGACCTAACTAAACCATTCGATCTTTGCAACTCGCTCACTCATCAAGTGATGGACCCGGTTTAGCTGAGCTAGGATTATTTCTTACATGATAGCGTATCTAGCCTCAATGGACGACCTTGAGTCGACCTAATGAATGGGAGGTGTTAACCGCATTATAACTAAGAGATGTAGTATTATGAGAATCCTGAGAATGTAGAAGTGGAACATATGGAAGGAGATCAGATGCAAGAAGGTCTATGTATATTTGGTTCCCTTGAGCAGGGGCGGAGCTACCCTAGGGCTAGGGTGGGCTCCAGTCCCATATCCCAAAAAAGAATAAAAATTTGCTAATCTTATTTTTTAAAAAATTTTATAGATAAGTCCCATTAACCCCATGTAATTTTTTATGTAGCCCTATTTAATTTCGGGCTGGATGCCTCAAGATTCAGGTCGAAATTGTTTATATGACAACAATGAAGGAAAAGTGATGATCCAAGTGAGAGAAAAAAGATAATCCTTTATTGTCAGATGACATTTATGTCCTTATTAGATTTTTATCAATTGGGTTTATAATGTAGCCCAACACACTCTTGCCTTTTAATTTTATTAATCGGTTGACTTGACAAGTACCAAATGAGCTGGATAATTAAGTTTGACACACACTTCTCTTGCGGGCTATTTAATTGTGTTCGTCTCATTGCACAGTCTGTTATCCATTTTCATTTATTATTTTTTTTTGCTGATTTCGTCTCCAATAATTAATTCGGCCTCAATTCCTTGACAAAGAAAAAACTCTTACAGAATTGAGTGCAAACATGCTCGACTCTATTTGTTTGATCGACAAGTTCGATTAGTTATTCGGGTTTGGCTTGTTTAAATATATAAGCGAGTCGAGATTAAAATTTTCCAATTCAAACCGACATATATTATCAGATAATTTGGTTCTAGTCATGATCACAAAATCGGTTACGGGTCGAAATCGCCGATCCCGGGCCGAGAGTTGGAGGACCCTGAACCGACGCGGACATATACACGGGCCGGTTCATTGAATTGTCAGTTCTTGGTCATCCGGTTCATTAAAAAAAATAAAAAAAAAATAATTAAAAAATGATATATTTTTCTTTAAAAAAGCCGAACCTCGGGTTCGGGTTCCGGTTCCAGTTCGGAACTGAAACTGCCGGTTCAAAATGTATAAACTATAAAGTATTGTACATGAATCGAACTGGTCAAAACCACGGGCCGGTTCAAGACCTGTGGTCAATGGGCCGATTTGTGTCGGTTCGGCCGGAACCGACAGGTTGGGTCGGCCCATAACCATGTCTACTCGGTTCCAATAATAACTACAATAATATACAGCCCCGGGTCAAAAAAAATTCTGACTACGCCCCTGCCCTTGAGTAGCTTGATTCGAAGACAAGGTAATTGTTTTCATATATAAATGTAGAGGTATGGTTATTGTTAAGCTACGATCTGTCACACGAGGGACTAATCGTCACAGTCTCTATAATGAATCCTTCTAACAATTTTTCAGGTACTCAGACAAGAAGATCAATCGTGATAATGATATTTAAAGAGATCTCTCGGTTACAAGAGTTATTTAGTATGTCTCTATATATTATTATTTTTTTAGGGATGATCAAGAAAAAATGTTAATCATACATTTATTTTAATTGTTTTGGCCATATATTTTAGGGTTCATATTTTTGTAAAAAATAATAATAATAATAATAAGCAAGGGCTCAAACCAATGTTTTAAATACCGTACCGTACCGGCCGGTATTACCAGTAATACCGGATACTGGATACCGGTGGTCCGACCGGTACGGTTACACTCTAAATACCGTTTTGGCCAAAATACCGGTTTTACCGGCAAATACCGGCCAAAATACCTATCAAAATATCGGTTTATGCCAACTTTTTTTATAAAAATGTATTTTTAATATATTTTCATTAATTTTTTTATATAAATTGAAAGTTCTACACATAATTTTAATACGTTTACATTGTTATTAGATGTTAATTAATTTAAAATTAGTTAAAGTTAGTTTTGTATATTATTTATATTATAATAATAAATTAATTTAATATTTATTAAAATCGGTAAAATAGACCGTAATACCGGTTGAACCGATTAAACCACGTACCGTTGGCTCATCCGGTATATTTACCGGTACGATATTTAAAACACTGGCTCAAACAAAAAATTACTGGGCATTTGTTTGCCGAAATCTTTTATTAGACAAGAGCAGTCAACTATTTCTCTCTTCGGAACAGCAAAACCGTAGAGAGAAACAGAGGAGAGGGAGAAATTATGTCTGACGAGGAGCATCACTTCGAATCCAAGGCGGACGCCGGCGCATCCAAGACCTACCCTCAGCAAGCCGGCACCATCCGCAAATACGGCCACATAGTCATCAAGGGCAGGCCCTGCAAGGTTTCGATTCGTTCATTTATGCCCCTTTTTGTGGGATTCAGTTTAAAGATAGGATTTTTATGGATTTATCGTTGTTTTCATTGTTGTTTCTGAGCTGGGCTTGATTTCGTCTGATCTTGATTGGCTTCTCGCTTCACGAATCCGGACTTGACCTTGGGATGGTTTATTCTTCATTTATTTTGTTGGGCTAATTTGGCGTTGGTTTTAGGGTTTGTCTTTATTTGTTTATTTATGTGTTTTCCCGATCCGGTTGTTAGGTTGATATGAATTATTATATGTAGATAGACTTATGAATTATTATTATTCCGAAGACTTCTGGATTTGCAGTAATTTGTCTAGATTGTAGTAGACTGAAGTATAGTCTACAGCTTTGTAACTCTGTTTATTGTTTGTTTGACATTTTCTTTCCTTGTTATTGAAGATAGGATTCAAAATTCTTGCCTAATAATATTATAAATGCACAATTCTTCATTTTTTGCTTCTTAAATTTGTATCTCGTCCCTGCTAATCGGTCTAGCTCCAGTGAGTAACCTAGTGACTGGTTTTATAATTTGCACAGTTGCTTCTCTTTTTAAGGATTGGTAATAATCATTCATGTTGTTTTCTGAATGAAAGTTCAATAGTCATCTTTGATGTTGACTATTTATTCGTTAAATGTGTTTGCAGTTATTTATGTTCACCTCCTTATATATTTGATGGGTTCTTTAAATGAATTGTTCTCCTTTTGATATTGTAATGCTTTGGGACAATGCATATTCAGCAAGCCTCTTGATTACTTTTATTTTGTACTTTTCAACGTTTGATAGCACAATGTCAAATGGAATGCTACTTGCAGAAACTTTTGAAATTGTACTATTTATCCATGTTTACATTGATCCTAATGTGCTATTTCTTTGATTGAGTAGGTTGTTGAAGTCTCTACTTCAAAAACCGGGAAGCATGGGCATGCCAAGTGCCACTTTGTGGCTATAGACATATTCAATGGCAAGAAGCTTGAAGATATTGTTCCATCATCCCACAACTGTGATGTAATTTGTTATTAAGTTTTTCTCAGTAACTTTGTCTTATAGCAGCAGCTGTATTTGTATTAAATTACCGAACAAAATCGTTTGGCGTGTTTATTCAGGTGCCTCATGTGAACCGTACTGATTATCAGCTTATTGACATCTCTGAAGATGGTTTTGTAAGCTCTCTCTCTCTCTCTCTCTCTTAACCAAGTATTGCTGCATATTGGGAAATATAGAGTTGAATTTGTCAGTTATATTCATGGATATCCAAGACAAGGTTTACATTAATGATTCAATTTTACTTATGAAAGATGTCGGTAACATCAACATTTTGACTTTACTTTTACATATTGGAAGCATAGTGGGACAATTAAAAATTCATACGATATTCCAGTTATACACTAAGTTTGTATAAGTTTGTGACAAGAAGTTACAACATCAATGGTGGTATTGTAACTATTTGATGTTCATCATTCCTGTTTTTAGTTCCCCTTATATTTTCTGAGCTAATTCATGAAGTTCAATTGAGAATCGTTATCTAAATGGCCAATGGAGTATCGTACTCCAGCCCCGTCAAATCGCCATTTCACACAACTTCGTATTGTACTCCGTGTCAAGGCCGCTTGCCGTTAGAGTAAATATGACACTCGCTTAGTCCCTACGTGAAATTTAAGTTTTAGGGAGTGAAGGTGTTAATTTCCCGAACGTCCACGACGTAATATAGTAGCTTTGAGTGGAGTTATATAATATTCACTTAGGCGTAAGGGCTGCCCGAGGATGCTCCAACGGCTCATACTATTGAAACCAGGTGTGACACGAATTTGGGGGTACCAGGAATGGTATGCGAAGCCCCTCAATTCGAACTCAGAGATTGGATATTGTTGTATTTTAAGGTCGCATCTTTAGTCAAGTCACAAATTGTTTTTAGATTTAACTATACTTTTTGCATTAGAAAATTTTGAGTTTCAAGTAATATTATTTCAATATATGTATGAAAATATTTTATTTTAGAGTCATGACATTCTCATATACGATGATATTTTAAAAGCACATTTTATGAAAATCATGTTGTCTCAAAAAATAAGCATATGTGCATGCATCTATAGATGGCGCGTCAATGGAAAACTCTAGAAAGTCGAGTTTAGGATCAAACAACATGTGGAATGTTCAAGAATTCAATTGGTTCGTGATGAATGAGGAGCTGTCCGTTAGAGAAAACATTTCAGGTTGCTCGAGTTATGGGGGAACTTTGTGTTACAATTAATCTCTTGGGTGCTTTGCGCCTTTCTTGAGAGCATAACAGAATAGTTGCAACTTAAGAACAATATTGAGGGACTTTCTTGTATCAGCCTATGGACAATGAGGAGTTGCAAGAGGAACCAATAGCAGAAGTTATTGGAGTAGCTAGGACAGGATGTAACTAACCTGCAATATATTCCCAGAACTTTCACTTTTCGTTGTTTATTTCTAAATCGCTTATTTTTAAATTATTATTACTATTATTATTATCATTGTTATAACTAATAATGATTATTATCAGCATCATAATTTTATGCTAGTATTATGATCATTATTATGCTACATATATTTAAATACTTTAAGTAACTAAAAGTGAGTAATTTTAATAGGAATATCGCGGCTTATGCTTCTTGTACTAGCTTTGCCTTGTTTTGGTTTTGGTTTTGGTTTCTCTTCCAAATCCTCATCATTCATAATCTATTTCCATGGGTCCCTCATGTTCTTCCCAATGCTTGCTTAAACAGAGCACGAGTTCATAAAAGATGCCTAAAAAGTTCCTCAATATTGTTCTTAAATTCACCGCGTATCTCTGATGCTAAGGTTTTCTAGGAAGGCAACAAAACGCCCAAGAGCTTAATAATCTAATCCTTATGTGTAAGGTGGTAGCCCAAATTCCTTAAATCCTCCATTAACTCAAGCAACTTTAAAATGTTTTGTAACGGATAGCTCCTCGTCGAACATATGAACTTTTGGGTGAGGGCCGAATCCGGATTTCTCAACGACATTAGATTGATGGATTCTAGGCTGATTATTGAATCTCGATTCCATGCACCAAGGGTTATGGGTTTGGCTATAGGATGGAATATTTAGTCTTAATTTTAGTTAGGTTGGCTTCATGATTTGGGTGTAATTGTAGAGATCTAATTTGATTGTGACTATTCTTGGTGGTTATTTGAATTATCAGATGGATAGAGAGAGGAATATTGATATGGGTAGATGATGGTGGCTGATTTCCTATTTGGTTTGCACAGAATGTTACATCTACATCTGGGAAGAAGGAAAAGAGGCATCAATAATATGAATTTTTACCTTTGATTTGCTGTGTAGGAGAGACATGAGATAATTTGATGGAGTAAAGAAATTGTATTTATATGCCAAGTAAAATTAAGGTTAAAGAGTCTCATCTGTACTTCTTCCAATGGGTTGAATTCACAACTTAAAGTCTAATACATATGTAGTTAGTTTGTTTAATTACACTATAAAGTCATGGGTTTGTTTGTATAGTAGATTCGTTAATATTATTACTTCGGTAAAATAAAGATAATGATTAATATGCCGTGGGCCTAAAAATAAATTTTTACCGTTTGTACCATTTAACGTAACTCAAGCTACTGAATATTATGCTGTGGGCATTTAGGATATTAATGAGTGTCTTCTTCTTTACTCTCTATAACCGATGACCACCTTGACCCGACTGCCTGGGTCAGGAGGACTTACGAATGTTGTTGTTGTTGTTGTTTTTTTTTTTTTTTTTTTTATTTTTGTTTAAGATGCCCATCATTCACATCCAAAANTTCTGTTGTGACACTGAAATTTGACTAGGTAAATTACTATGAAATAAACATAATCTTCATCACCAATTTCAATTCCCTTTAGAAGGTAGATGATTTTTTTATTATTTAGTTCTTGTCATCTTGAGCTGTTTTAAGGTTTGCGTGTTTTAGGTCTCTCTTCTGACTGAAAATGGTAACACCAAAGATGATCTGAGGCTTCCTACCGATGAGAATCTGCTTTCTCAGGTGAACAACCATTTTATGTGTTATCTTTATTTTTCGTTTTGCCCAGTAATTTTAATTTAGACGGTGCAAATTTGTCCCAGGAATTGGTTTATGAAGATAGAGTGCAATTTTATTAAGTCAATAGTGAATGTATAGTGATTAAACACAATTGGTTTATTTGCTTGCAAGAGTCACACCGTGATTAGAATTATTAACACAAACTACTATTCCTCTCTTTAAATTCCGACACAAGCTGACATTTGGAAACACTAAAATGTAACTATTATGATTAGTATTAGTTTGTAGTGTTGGGAAGTAACCTTTTTCATTTGATCTACGTGCAGATTAAAAGTGGGTTTGAGGAAGGAAAGGACCTTGTGGTGTCTGTTATGTCAGCAATGGGAGAAGAGCAGATCTGTGCCCTCAAAGACATTGGTCCCAAGAATTGATAAAAACTATATGTCGTTTGCCATCATAATATCTACAAATTCTACAGATTTAGGCCGAAAATTCCTATTATGGTTCTTGTTTGTAAGTGTTTTCTCAAGTATTTCATCTGGTTTTCGGGTTATCAGAAAGTTATAAGCTGTGTTGCTCCTTCTTTGGAGATTTAACCTAATATGCGGCAAAACTCGGTTATCACATAACAGAGCTATGCTATTTGCTGTTTGTGTCAGTCTTGATATGTATTTTTATCTTTTTTTTTTTTTTANATTTTTCCCTTCTCTTTTCTATTTTAGTGGTGGTTGTTATTTTGTGTATGGATAAGATATGATATATATGTTAAAAGTGTGTAGATCTCTTGATTTGGATTGCTAGACTTCATGGTCTTATGATGTACATAGTTGCATCAGATTTATTCAAACTTTTTTATCTGCAATAATTTTATGTCTTGTAATTCTCAAGTCCAGCTAACAAATTTATATCACTCGAATAAATATGCCCAAATCTAGCTAGTTTTTGGAAGTTGAATGAACTATGTAAAGTGAAACACGTATGAGAAATATGCCAATTATATATTATGAGTCTAGAATGTTGAGGATTTCATGTAAGTAACATATAACAAACTAAACTTCACCAATCAACTACATAATTTAACAATTTCATATAAGTAACATATAACAAATTAAACTTCACCAATTACTTACATATATTAACAACTTCACTTCAGTTTGTTTTGATTGCCTACTAAAAACTTCATAAATCGAAGATACAAATTTCAAAATTATTTGAATGATGCTCTATACTTTTCTAATATTTTATATATTATGTGATCCACTAATTTTTAAATTCCGTGGGTTATGAATGTAATTTTGGTGTCAGATCATTATGAAGGCCTCTTAAGAAAAACTAAAATTTCATCACTATATAACCATTTTTCTATTGTTCTACTAAAAACATTTCAAAAGAATTCTCGCAACTCCACTAGATCCCATATACTTCAATCTATCATAACCAAACAACAAAAATCTAATCACTTTACAAATCTATTACATACTTGATACTTATATGACTCAGTGTTTGACGGATTTACATTTTCAATATATATGAACATTTATATGAATATTTATAAATTAAAATTTCATACTTAGCTTAAATTCATATT